CAAGAGACCCCAATCCCCCCGAGAGCTGGCACCCCAGGGACACCCCTCCAGGCCAGCTGGCCTGCTCCCAGCCTAACCGCCAAAGGGGGCCTGTGTCTCTAGTCCCTACAATTATCCTCAAAGGCCTATCTCAGGAGGACCGTTCCTCACAATGAAGCGGTTCTGCTCAGCACGAGAGTCCTGCACGTTACGTGAAGTTATGACTCGCGTGAAACAAGACTCCCTCACAAGAAACATACTCGGTGAACCGGCCATGCCACAGGCACCCAAAACCCCTTAGTGAAAGGGTGGGAGAAACGAAGAATCACTGTCGAGTCAAGAACCGGGCTGCCTCAAGCTTTTAGGCAGCTCGCGGACATCGCCACACCCTGCCCGCCGCCAGCCCCGTCATCACACTGGTCGTTTCCCAGGGCACAGGGCCTCAACTCACCGCCCGTGGAAGGCTCCCGCTCGAAGGACAGGGACAAGGACCCTCTGGAGGAAAAGGCAGAATCGACCGAGGACACCCCCGACAGCCGCTTGCCGCTGTCGGCCGACGGGAGTTTGGATTCGGAGGAGCTGCGGCTGAGCTCGTCGGGGCCCTCGAGCGCCTGGGAGATGCCCGAGTCCAGCTGGGACAGCAGCTCCGACAGGCTGTAGTCCTCATGGAAGGCGGGGGCCGAGGCGCGCTTGAGCGGCGTGGACACGGGCGCCTGCGAGGATGAGCACAGGAGGCACATGAGGCCGCGGGCGCCGCACCGTCGGGGAAGGTGGAGAGAGGGAGGGGAGCCCGCGGTCCTCGGTTCGTCACGCAGGGAATTTAGCTCCTGCTATGCGACGCATGGCACCAGGGAGCCCAATGACACTGCACTGGCCCACCGGGCGGGAAGACCGTGTAAGGGAACCCTGACTTGATAAAAAAGGGAAGGTCCAGCGCCAGGCTGCCCCGACGCCCCGCGCAGTGTACGGACCCAGCGTTACTCGGACAAGGGGCAGATCGTGAACAGCTGCAGGTGACACCGAGCGCTGGGCCGTGTCCGCCAGAGCAGGTCGGCGCTGGTCAGAAACAAAGAAGAGGGCTGGGGCTGGGGCTACTGGGACTAGGGCTCCCCCCAGCTCTCCCCACATCGCCTACCACCTGCAGCCTCTCCTGTGAGCTGTGTAAGTCTGGCTTGGGGCTGTGTGTGGACAGGGCAGGGGCGGGGTCCAGCTGCAGGGACAGCACTGTGGCCCACCCTTAGCCTCCCCAACAGTGACGAAGGCAGGCTTCTGGTGAGTGATCGGAGTCTGAGGGCAGCTGAGGACTCCTCCCGTGTCGTGCCCATGTGACCCCAAATCTTCCCATCTGGGGAACTGCTAATCTGCTCTGATTGAGTGGTTTGGGGCACGGAGTCACACCCACTAGTTGGCTGCCTTTCTTTTCCTTATCGGGGGCCTGGCTGCCTCGCCGGGGCACCTTTGCTCCCCAACCTCACGCACAGGCTGTTCAGACGGGGGAAACACACACCACAAATGGTCACTTATGTCCCAGCCTTACACCAGCGACCCGGGGCGAGTTGCTCAATCCCAGATAACACATTACAAGGTTAGTTACCAGGCTTTACAAGTCTTATTCTCGTTCAGGTATTTAGTGAGTCCTGGCATTGGGAGTTTCTTATCACAACTTACACTACCCACGTGACATTCACTGAACAAATCGTTTATGAGAAGATCCCCAAGCCAGGGCTGCAAAGACAGGCAGACCCCAGAGCCCAGGCCCCCCAATCCCACCCCCAGCCAACAGGGCCTGGCAGGGGCGGTTCAAAGAGCATCCACCTGGCGGCTTTTGCTTTTTAATGTCACACATGGGCCCGCACTGCTCATTCATAACCAGACAGGTGGTGGGGACAGGGCACAGTTGGGAAGGAAATTAATCTGGGGCCACTGTGACTGCCATGGGACCTGCCCTCCTGTCACTGGGCACAGGACTCCCGTGGCCAACTGGTACCAGGTGGGGCTCTGAGGGCAGGCCAAGCCGCAGGACAAGGAACGAGGGGCCCAGGCTGGCAGGGGACTGTGCAGAAGAGAGGCCTTGGGTCAGAAAACTCAACCCCAATGCAGCACAAAGGCCGCTTTGGGGGTCCCCCTACCTCAGTCTTAGGCTCCGGAGGGTCTTTTACATCTAGGTCCGGAGTTGTCTCTTTCACCTCATCGTCGGGTTTATCACACAGGTCCTCAGTCTCAGACGTGATTTCTTTTGGGGAGAAGACAAAAAGGGGCATGTCCCTTGGAAAGCGACCTCCACATACACCCCACACAAACATGCCACCAAGAGCAGGGATGAAAGAGGTGACCCCTGAAGCATCTCCGACTCAAGGACTCAGTTGGCACTGTGGTTTCCCATGCTGTTGGCCCCGGCTGAGCTCACAGGCCACCCCCACCCCGGGGCCCTCTGCATGGGCCACACACCAGCTTCCTGTCAGCAGCCCTTTGCAGGTCTCACCAGACTCAAGTAGGAGTCAAGGTGCTCCAGGTTTCCAAAGAAGCCTTCGAGAGGGGGAAGGAGGGAGACAGTGCAAGACCCGCCAGCACCTGGAATGTGGGCCCCCCACATTCATGTGTCCCCTGTGTTTTAAATGCAATGGTCAGTTTCAATCCCATCAGGAATGTTCCCTAAGCAAATGACACATCCGATCCATGGGGACAAGACCCCAAGAAAAAGGTAAAGAAAGCCTCAGGCTGGTGGTCACACCAGTCCCTAAAAGGTCTATCGCTGTATGTGAACCTGACACACCAAGTACAGCCTTCTCTG